TGGCGCTCCTCCTAGTTGAACCTTTTCTCCCTAGCATGAGAATATAGAGTGTCGATCACGAAAAATACGCTTCGTCGTTTGCGGAACCGCAGGATCACGGCTTGGACCCTGCTGCGCTCCCCCAGAACTGGGACGGGTGGTGGACGCCGTGGCTCGACTCTTAGAGGGTGACATAGGCGGATCCATCAATTTGGCAACAATGGATTCCTTCCATTTAAACCCATGTTAAATAATCGATTTTTGTCGGGGCACCTGGCCCCTCCACGAATCGATACATTTCCATAGGTTTAAATGGAAGGAATCCATTGTTGCCAAATTGCTGGATCCGCCTATGTCACCCTCTAAGAGTCGAGCCACGGCGTCCACCACCCGTCCCAGTTCTGGGGGAGCGCAGCAGGGTCCAAGCCGTGATCCTGCGGTTCCGCAAACGACGAAGCGTATTTTTCGTAGAGTTCTCGGAGCTCATCAACAATCGATGGATGGTGAGCGGCCACGTCTCGGAACTCGCACGGATCTTGGTGGATGTTGAAGAGACAAGGTGCCTCGCTGCACTGATCCGGTGGGACCAACTTGGAGGCTGCTATTCGCTCCGAACATGCCGCCATCGTCCCCCGGTTCAAACTCCTCCTCCGTTCCGCGTATTTCATCTCCAGTTCCTTTTCCGACACGTTGCGTCGGAGGATCTTTGATACCGGACTGTCCGTGACGAGATTCAGCGAATATTTCTCTCCGTTGCGTCCGCTTTCCCCATGGTAGAAGGTGGTGTATTTTAGCGTCTCTGTGTCGTTGGCTGAAAATTAAATCAAACTTGAATTAAGTGCACCGCGTTGAGTAGAAAGGAACCAAGCCACATCAGCCGGGTGGTTTCAGGATAACTGGAATAGTTTTGTCGCCGTGACAGACAACACATTTTCCGGTCATATTTTTAGTAGAAATGATAATCACTCGATTTTTTTCGCATTAATCTTCAAAAGTTTACGTATTATAACAATTTATCATTATTTATTGCTCTACTTCTCAATTAATATTATGTAAATTCCGAAAGCGTGCTGTCTATTACGCGGTTAAAAGTCAGCTTAACAGACAGCACATTTTTCGCCATTTATATTTTAAAATTGCAAAGTAGAGCGATTAATCTTGAAAAGCGTTATAGCACGTAACCCTTTATAGATTATTAATGCAAAAAAATTCGAGTGATTATCATTACTAATAAAAATATGACCGAAAAATTTGTTGTCTGTTACGGCGACAAAACTATTCCAGTTATCGTGAAACCACCCAGCTATTGCTAAATTTAATCGGAAAATTTAATTTTTTACTTGAAAACAGTTTTGCAGATTGTTGTGCAAATTTCAGCGAAATTTCTGCCAAATACAGAGAAAATTCCTTTAAATTTTCTTAGAAATCCGCACAAACGTCCTCTAGTAAAATATTAAAATGGCTGGTTAAATTTGGTACCAACAAACAGTGAAACAATTAAACTAAATACCTTTATGTTTTAATATCTCTAAAAAAGAAGACAGAGAATTTTACAATTCCTGTTTTTTTAGCTAATCATTGTATTATCTAACGTCACCCTGTAAATTAAATGCAATTCGGTTAGTTTTAGTTTTAAACCATTTAGATAGATACAAGAAAATACTATTGTAGTAGTTATGTTATATTCAAAAAAAAAACTCCTTCAAAAAAATTTTCATTTAAAAAAAACAAAGCTGATGTGGCTTGGTTCTTTTCTGCTAGACGCAGTCCAGTTATTCTTAAATAATAGTAAGGCTTTGTAGCCTTGGGACGTTTCGTGGGATTTTCCCAAGGGAAAAATCTCACTTGCAATGTTAGGAAAAATATTGAGATTTTCAGATTCATGCTGAATTTTTAACGCAAGTTGACTAAAAAACTCCAACATCCTGTCTTACGATCCGTACGTCCTCCGCATTGCGTTGACGCATGCTGTAATTGTCAACAAAACATAGTTATAAATCAGTAAATGTTGAATTTCTTGACCGATTTGAAATTGTTTTGCAGTTTTAAGGGCTGAACGAACGTTTATACCACAATCGCTAGATTTTCTATAAAATAAATATTTTTAAAAGTTGAGAGTAAAAACTGTTTCGTCAGATGTAAGAGAACTTGGCAATCATGTATCAATTTGTAAGTACCAAGTGCGAAGTTTTTATTTTGAGGGGATACAGATTATCTACAATTTCAAACTTGAAGCCTTTTATTGTATCAAAAGTTTTTGAACGTCAAAATCACTTACCTTGAATCAATTTCCATTTATCTTTGATAACTGCCCATTTACTTCTTTTCTCGTAAATATGCACCAAAAGCTGATCCCTTGAACTTTTAGACTTTACGTCAACTAAATGAGACCACTGATTTATTCCATCCAACGCTGAAAGAGAATTCACGTCACCACCTAAAAGCAATGCAAAATGAAGAAAAGGAATCGAAGAGGAGAAAGAATATAAAACAGCATACAAACATAAACAGCAAACAGCATATAATTTCTAAACATTTAAATTCAAAATGGTTCAACGTTCAACCAAGTTTTGGATTAGGGTAGAATATATTTCCCTGCAGGGGCACTATTTTCTTTGAGTGCTACAATTGACAACTCTCATGAATTTCTGAGGAGGCGGGAAAAGCTAGAGTGCCTTTAATTTTTGAATAAGCAACACGCACATCTGTGGAACACGAATTGTTGTATCAAAGCCCCTCAACCAACTCAGTGTAGTCTTTGTAGGTCGAGATACCGACCAAATTATTGGCGTTGGATACTCAAGCTTCCGGTCATCAAGGATTGCGCGAAAAGTTTAAGGAAGTATATGAGGATTGCGCGAATAGAAATCTCAAAATCTGCTACAGGAATACGAGAATTTAAAATGAAGTTAATTTAAGGTAGAAGTTTGGCAAAACAGGAAACAGTTGGAAAATAATCGCGTTTTTATGTTAACGCTAGTTTAGGTTAGTTTGTTGACAAATCATCGATGTCTTACCTCCGAAACGTGGGTATAAAAAACTTTCCTAAATTTTCTCGGAAAAAATATTTAATCGGGAGAAACGAGGCAACTTTGGAATGCTCATACGGCGTTGAAACACAGCATGGGCCTTTTAAGTTCTATTATTCGCTGTCGCGATTATTCTGAGGCGAGTTCGAAAAATCGCGCCAAACACGGTGCGGCCAGCGTAAAACATACATTAGTGCCTACAAGACTGCATGAATACTTCTCGCATTGCGCCAAACGTAGTCAGTCAATCAAAGTGCAGTCAGTCAGTTGGCTTGAAACGCAAATTAGCGCCTACAAGACTGTAGGAACGCTGTAGGACTGCTTGTCATCATCTTGACTTTCTGCTTCAGTTTTTACCATAATTAATGGAAAAATATGTATTCTCATTGTAACGATTCAGAAACTCGGATGAATTCCAATTTGTTTTTGTTTACATTAAAGGATTATATAACTAACGAAAATATCGCGTCGAACTGTTCAATACTTTTATTTGAGATCATCTGGGTAAATTCGAAGAAACTTTTCAGAAAACCTGTGTGTAGTAACAAAACATATATTAAAAATAAAACATAAAAAAGGTGCATAACGTTGATGTATAGATCTAGTAAATAATTTCTGCCCTAAAACGGGACATTTGTTCCGGTGGTTTTGATTATAGCGCAAATGACTATCATCAGAAAAACCCGATGAGCCGTAGTAAAATGTATGTGGTCCAGACTCAAATTGGAGTCACATCTTTACCTGCGGCGTAATATAAAGTTGGGAGCCAATCGGTGAGGTGGATGTAGTTGTCGGAGGTTTGAGCGAGGTTCTTGAAAAGCGGACTCCACGCAACTGCCACTCCTCTCACGCCACCCTCGAACAGAGACCCTTTCAACTAAAAATACATTCCATTAATATTTCAGACCCATTTCATAATGTGAGCACTCGCTTTTTCGGTAAAATGACGTATGAGGCTTGCAATGCTGCTAATTTGAAGGACCTGATAATTCATTTTGTTTAAATTGTTTTAATCGTTGTATACATTTTAAATTTGACTTGTGCCAGAGCTTTTTACTACAGGCTGTATGCATCAATGAATTCTATCTATCTATCTATCTATCTATCTATCTATCTATCTATCTATCTATCTATCTATCTATCTATCTATCTATCTATCTATCTATCTATCTATCTATCTATCTATCTATCTAATTTGGTGCAATTTTTCTTAGATTTTGCAGCAGACGAGGTTTATTCATAGTCGACTTACTCACTTGCTTACGTGTTCCTCACCATATTACTTAGTATGTAGACAGAAAGTCTCCAGCAAAAAGTCCACAAGCAGAAATTCTGCATTTTTCGGTCTACGTTTACAACGTCTAGAACTAAAAAGTCCACTACGAAAATGTCTACAAATAATGATGCCTTCTAAAGTAACTTACACCTCTGAGTGGCCAATTGGATGCTCCCGTTTGGAGTCCGAGATCTGGTCGTGTGGTGGGTCCTCCATTGTCGGATATGAAAATGATGACACTGTTCCGTAACATATTGTGCGAGTCCAATGCTGAAACCACCGCCCCCACTGATGCATCCAGAGCCTCCATCACACCTAAAATTCGGCGAAATAACACATTCGTTCTTTAGTTCTTCTTGCGTCATTATATCTATACTATAAGCTCCGAGACCTCCTAAATTTTCACATCTTGTAACGCTTAGTTCCAGCATTTTACTTGACCGATTTTCATGATTTTTGCAGTCATCAATAGACAATTTTCTCTAGAAAAGCCCGCTATATTTAAATTTTAAAAATATGACCCAGGTTTTTCAAATTACGCGGTAAAGTTGCGAATTTTCCCATTTCAACAATGTAATTTTTTATTCTTTTGTCACAGTTCGTTTGAGCGTTTTACTGGGCCTATTGCTATGATATTTGCGGTCATTGACAGATGATTGACCCTGGATGAGCTCGCTGTAATCAGATTTTCGAAATAGGGCCCAGGTTTTTTTATATAAGAGTATATCAGGGAGCTTATAAAGGTGGCGAAATTGCAATATGCGCGGTTGAGCACAGATGAGAATTTCATGAGCCGCCGCCCACCGACGGCACACTATGAACCAAAACTAAAGAATAGGAAGAAATAAGTCGGATAATGACGGATAGATCACGAAAGTTTCGCAACAGATGTTTTTTGAGTCGCTAATTTTGAAATAGATGTCAAATTGCCTACATTTAACACCCTGACCTATAAATTCCACAGTTCCAAACACGATATATTTTGATTATTATGGCACGCTGCGGCGCGGCGCGGCGTGCTGGCCAGCTCGAAACGCGCACTGACGCCTACAAACCCAAGGGGATACTTCAAGCGTTGCGCAATGCTTGAAGTATCTCCTTAGGTTTGTAGGCGTCAGTGCGCGCGTCTCGCCCCGGCAGCACGCCGCGGTTGTCCCGGCGGGCGGGTGGTGACCGATTTCTTGCGGAGAGAGCTTCCTGGCGGCGAAACTCGTATATCGTGTAATTTTTTTTAAAATTACACACTGGTCGTGTGATTTAATTAGTGAACTCTCAACTCTAGATGAAGTGTAATAGTGAAAGGCGGGCCGTGCGCCATGCGCGCTGCGGACGACGTAGGGCGGCTCATGAAATTCTCCCCTGTGATCTGTCGAACTAAGCGGGAATTGTTGAATGTTGGTCTGTTGGTAGAGTAAGTGAATTGAAGGTATGTTTCTTTGCTACAGGTTATCCATAAGCGACGATACGCTCCGTTTCGTTTCGTTTCGTTTCAGTCTTGGCGTGAAGTTTAAAATAAATGCCAATTGTTTCATTCCACTCTTATTGGTCAAATCGCTCTCGACCAGAGGGAGATTGGACAAAATAACGAGAGTCTAGAATGAAAATCTTTGAATTTTTTTTTTTGGTCGTTCTTTGGTCGATGCGGGTCTAAGAGAGAGCGAAGCGCCCTCTGGGGGTTGGACCGCATAGCGGTCAAGGGCTGGTGTTTTAATGTGCTTCGAGCAAAGGCGAATCCTGCAAATCGTGTAAAAAACGTATTTGACTTAGTATTTTCATAGATTTTCTCATTTCTGCGGGAGGACGCTCATTCATGCACAATCTTGGCCGTCTTGTTTCCATATTGGAATCTGGAGATTGACAGTGGCATGTTTTGTGTTAGAAGGTTGGCTGCCCTTTTGGTCCCCAAGAGCTTCATTTTTCGACATGTCCTATATGTAGGTATTCTAATACCGATGAACCCTTAAATGAGGGGCTTGGAGGACAAGGCGCATAAGTGCAGTATTTGCTATTCGAAGAAATACGTGTGTGAAGTTTCCAAATTACATGGATCCTCATGACCGAAAGAAAGTTCAAACTGACTTTTTCATGCTTGAAAATTGGAATTTAGGATCGAATTTTTCACAGAGGGTGTATTAAGACTAGTTTCATACCATCAAATTTCAAAAATCATTAATGCCTTAATTTTTTTAAGTTAGAAATTTGGAGCGATTTTTTCACAGTATATGCACATATCTCACTTGAAACCATTAAAATCTCAATTTTTTTAAAGAAAACTGCACTTACCTCAAAATCTTGTCCTCCAAGCCCCTCAATTATTCCTATGTGAAGGTGAACTATTGCAAAATTCCGAGCCGATCCGCAAGCAAATTGCAAATCGCCGATGATTGTTACTTTCATTGGCGGATGAACGAATTTTCTCCATTTAAACCTATCGAAATTTATCGATTCTTCGAGGGGCCAGGTGCTCTGACATGAATCGATTATTTAGCATAGGTTTAAATGGAGGAAATTCGGTGTCACCAAATTGCTTGATCCGCCTCTGATTATTTTCATGTAACAGAGCAACACACACGTAACGAGATTCCATTTCCCATACTGCCGTGCTAAAGAAGAAAGCCTAATGAGCCTTAAGACGTTGCCAAGCAGTTTCTTCCAATAAAAACCGACTTTACTGGGAAAATTGTGAATATTATTTCCCAAAATTTTCAGAATGTTTCGTACGCAATTTAATCTAAAATATATGAAATAATCAAAGGAAAATGTGCATGAATGTCATCAAAAATACATGTTTTATCGGAGGAAGTTTGGCAACTCTCAAATGTTCATATGGCGTTCTTTCTTAACACGGCAGCATATACTCCACCTGCATATAATCGCCTCAACGGGTCGGCAATATAGCTGTATTTCTTAGCATTTTTCGCCTCGTCCCGCGCTTCTAGGACCCCGATAGCGCCTGCATGAGGTGCCAAATGCGACAGCATGAGGAACAGAGGTGCCGATGATCTACTGTGAGCCTCAATCACGTCCACAGCTTCCTTCGTGTAAACGTCCGTCAAATACTTCCCTTCAACCTCATGCTTGCTCCGGTGGAAATTGCGGTAACAGTCGAATCCGGAAGTATTTTGCTGTCCAAGTAAAATGTTAGAATCGGAAGTGACACAACCATTACAAAAATAGACATTTTATGGATTGCATTTTGCAAAGAGGAACCACAAGCATTCCAGGGTCGCTAAGATTGTGCGATTTTTTTTACCTTGCAAATATTTTTTTTTCTTTTTGAATTATCCTTTGTTATGTTTTAATTACAGAGGAGTTACAGTTGAGTTAGAGTTTATAATTTTTAATAAAAATGAGAAAAATATGTATTGAATTACAGAGAAGGATGAGGTATTAATTGGACTGTATTTTGCAATTTGGACCTATAAATTCTGGCTCATCTGAAAAAACACTTTTGTGCAAAGAGAAACTAATGGCACATACGTTGTTTTTAAACCGGGCCGGAATTTATAGGTCCAAATTGCAAAATGAAGTCCAATTGACAGTATTCGATTGAGAAAAAAAAATCCGAGAGAGACTGAGGGAAGGGGTAAAGGAGCTGGAAGTGCTTTGAGCATACCATCAGCAGGAATACCTTGCAAATATAAACTGATCATCTAAACAAGTTTTATCTTTACTCCCAATAAACTGTAAATTCAATACGAAAATTACCACAGTAAATTGAATTTTTTACAAGGTCTCAGTAATTTCATTGCAAGGAACATAAGTTGCACAATCCTGGCAACATTGGAGAACTCTTGGTTCTTTTTCGCAAAATGCAATCCATATGTGACCAGATCTGTGATGAGGGACCTTACCTTCTGGGCGAATTTTCCCCTACGTTTTTGCGGATGTATGAGAGAAGAAAATCTAGATGACACAAGTTGACCATAAAATCTTAAAAATTGAATGTGAGACAAGTTCTGGAGATCCAAGACAAAGATTCTTATGTCTATAGATGGCTGTAGGTTCCACATAAGGAATATAAGCCAATAAACCAACAGAAGAAGAAGAAGAGTCTTGGGTTATAAAAAAAGTCGTTTAAGTGTTTGCAAAAAGAAAAAAAAAATTCCTCCGGAAGGTAAGGTCCCTTTGGTCACATATTATAATTACGAGTAATTCAAAAACAGGTTTTTGAAAATAATCATAAAACCATCCTAGACAAATGGCTCAATGCCACTGCGAATGAATTAAATTAATCAAAAACATGAAAACTTAGGTCGCCAGTTTTAATAAGTATTAACTGTAAAAAGGAAGGGCATATTTAGAGATTGCTATCCAGATATACAAGTAGCAAAAAAAACTATAAAATGATTTTAAAGGCTTCTAAATCTTAATGAGTTTGAATTGATGTTTAGTGTAAAGTTGTATGTCTGTTGCAAAATGGCGAGGATCACTTCGCTTTTCAAAGAACTGAGCGTTTTTTCGCGGAGATGAGGGATGTTTTCCCCCCTAAGACCTATTAAATGTGATAAAATTTCCAGAGATCTTTTAGCTCTTCATCCGTTTAAAAATGAACGATCTCTGGCAGTTTCAGTACTTTTAAATGGACTTGTATTCTTTCAAAACTAAGGATTTGATCAATTTTGAATGGTAATATTGAAAGTTGCAGGTGCGGTGCGCCTCTGAAAAACATTGATGCACTAATAGGGACAAGGAGGAAAGACTAAGATGACTCGTTACGAATTCTTGTCGTGGTGGAACTGACGTGCGGTATATCGTATCGATTTGGTAAAATATTTTTTGAAAATTTTGACTTTTTAGCCAAATAAAGAACAATAGCCCCTACGTATGAACCAACAATTCATTCTCAACCCAAAAAATTGGAAATCTCAGAGACATGAAGGTAGAATTCTTTTTGAAAAAATGTCGCATTCAAAATGCAACAATTGCAGCATTTCCCCCCTAAGAAGAATCCTACTTTCATTTTTCTAAATTTTAAAATTTTTTTGGTTGAGGATGAGTTCTCAGACTCATGCGCAGGAGTTTTTGTCTTTTCTTTGGATACAAAGTCAAAATCTGTAGAGATGATTTAGTCAATCGATGCGGTATATCACACGCCAGTTTAATCAAGCCAAGCTTCCGGACAAATCATCTTAATGGCACTTTTTAAGTCGTAAATAGGTTCGCTAATCCGAGAAAATATGTAAATTTTAATTTTTTTGTTTGTTTTTTTGTCCCTCGTGGTTTCAATTTTAGCCATGTGATACTATTCCGCCCGGAAGATCTCGAATGTTCCTTTATTAGATTTCAAAGCGAACGGAAACTTACAAAGTCGTGGATACCATTCTTGTAACCGACAAAGCCGTTGTAGAAACCAAAATGAGAGTGAAATCCTCTGCGAATAGGAGTCATACTTTTCTTCGCCGACCCCACATGCCATTTACCAATCAGACGGGTGACATAACCAAGCTTCTGCAACTTCTAAAATAAAAAAGAAGAAGAAGAAGAAGAAAAGGATCACCAAATCTCATTTTAAGAGCATCAACGACTGTACCATCAATCAACTGTAGATTGGTGGCGGCCTACAAAAAAACGTGACACACATGGAGCGGTCGTTCGATAGGCGGGCGGGCAGTGGAAATGGTCAATTTCTATCTATTATCTTATGGTCAATTTTCTATTTCTGACTAATAGTCATTTTCTAATGGTCATTTCAATGGTCAATTTCATGACCTCAAATACATGGGATCTTCCGGGAGTTTTTACGATAAAAGATTTAGCTTTGAAATTTTCATCGCGAACTCACTTGATGAATGGCTAAGTTCCATATCTGGACACAGATTTTCAAACAGTTGGTTCTAAATTTGATTACAAGTCCGTATTCAGCAACAGTCCCATACGTAGTCATAGAAACCGACTATCTTCGTTCTAAACTAAGTGTTGCTCCTTGTGTGTTACGAATTTCACTGGTGACGTAGTATAGGATCCCCTATCTATAGTTTCTAGATCATTGGAAAGCATGCACGAGAAGACAATTTTTTCGCATACACGGTGGACAAGAGGTATGGATACTCATTGCTCGCGAAGCAAGTCAAAATCGTCGAAAGTCCTGTCAGTGACTGAGCACAAACATGTTATTCGCAAATTATTTCATTTCATGCACTGTATTTCCTAATTTGGACGTATTTCTACCAAACAGACCTATGTGGAGGTGAGAAATATGGGGTGTGCTCGTTAGTTCTCTGGCCGTAAGAGTGAATGGGAATAATAAAGCGCCAGTGACGTCAGCGGCTATGATTAATTCGACTTCCGAGGAGGAGATCGTCGTCGGGGCGCTTTAACTCGTGAGCCCTGTCCACAACGCTATCTTGCCATGCCCGCGGCTCATGAATGTCGCATTCAGTTGGCACATAGGTCTGTTTGATAGAATGTAAAATCCCGCTTTTCCAATTCTTCAAAAGGAATCACGCCCACTTTTAAATTGCTTCTTATGCAGCTTCAACGAGCACACCCCATATTTCTCACCTGCACATAAGTCTGCTTGGCAGAAATTCGTCCATTTGATGTATCATTAATATGAATTTTTCAAAAAGGATCCAGCGTGTAGAAATTAAACCGTTTATAATAGTAAAACTTACCACTATGAGTTAAATGCCCCATTTCATTGACGATGGCAAGGTAGAAGTTAGAATAGACTAAACGATGAACGTTGGTTCCTCACATCATCACTCCTCTGACTGAAGTATGTGCCTTGCTCTCCGAATAAGCCCCAGATAGCATTGATTTATTTATAAAACAGGGTTCACGTGAAAATTGAGATACGCTCTTAAGAGAAAAACTTTTTTTTTTATGGTAAATAGGCGAGTATTGGAATTAGCGTGACTACATCAGATGCTGCCTGAATTTTCCTGATGGCGTTTAACTTTTAATCAGAAAAGAAAGCAACACAAAAACTTGAAACTTTTTGAGTATATTATTCAAAATCGATGATACAGGGAGTTAAAAGGTGTCAAGTAGTGCAGTTCTCCAATAAAAAAATTAAAAAATGAGAGAAAATCAGGCAACATGAAATGACATCGGGCAGATTCCGTTCAATTAGTCGCTCCTCTGGCTTGAGAGCGTACATCTATATCTCAAAATAAGCCCTGGAAAGCATATAGAACATATCGACGGTGTAAGTCGGCAATCATATAACTCGTTTTTGGTGTCTGTAAATCTCCGCCTCTATGTTATTTTTTTAAAGGAGAACAAGTCGACATCATTCCTTGGAGTTTTTGTAGAATTTTCCTCTCACAGAGAAGAAAAATAACGGCAGTTTTACAGAATTAACGGGGAGTAGTTTTCCGTTGAAAAAATGAAGTATGATAGGAAGTCTGCGACGCCGCAAACCGAGTTATGTGATTGCCGACTTATACCGTCGATATGCAATAGAATATAGCATGCACGACTACGTGCATGCCAGCCGGACAGACCAGCGGGCTGATTATTGAAATTGATAGACAAAGCAATAGACAAAGAAGACAAAAAGGATATGGAGGGATCCTATTGGTGGAAGCGGGTAGATGCAATGGACAAAGGACTAGGTAATAGACTAACTAACGGCAACCCACGAGAGACCCGATAGTTAGTCCATTATTTACCCCTTAGTCTATAAAAAACAACCCATTTCAACCAATAGGATCGTCGTATTCTCCTTATGTCTTCTTTGTCTATAGCTTTGTCTATAAATTTCAATAATCGGTCCGCTGGGCTCATGCAAAAATTGAGATACGTCCTTACGTCGCACAGTGGACCGAGTCAATTAGAGAGGTCGGACATGAAATTTTTGACTGAAACTGCAAATTTCGATGTTTATTTCGTCACATTTTAAATTTCAAGGTGTGTTAGTAGAAGAAAATTTTACGAGGAGACCAATGAAACCACTTTTGGAACCTCAAATTTTTGTATAAACGGAGTTTTAAGCGTTAAAGTTTCCAAATTTTGTCCGACCTTTTTTATTGACTCGATCCACCATGCACCGGAGGAGCGACGAAATCCGTCCAAATCGACTCCTCTGAACTGTATACTTAATACCTTTCAAAGTTTGCGATTACTTTTAATTGGTGATGATGGCAGTTTCTAAAAGTTTAAACATGGCGTCACGTAGGTACCTGAGGCAAGAGCTGTTCAGTGAGTGGTATTCCATCCGCGTGCCCAGCTAGAGTTGGCATGAGTAAACCTGAATGTACGGATAAAAAAATGGTCAGATGTCAAATTATAAGGAAAAAGGATGATAAAGGACATGAATATGAAGGAGGGCGAAAGGAATTGTGTTTGGGCAGTGTTATCAAACGAAAATTAATCCTCATCTCAGAAACAATAATAAATAAATTAAAAAAATAAAGGGATACATTTATACCAACCTTTATTGTATTGTATTGTACTAATGATTACTATATGTATTCTTCTATCTCTTCTTCTCTCTTCCTAATATTTGTTGAATATTTTCTTTACATGTATCAATGTAATATATTTAAAGGCTGTTTTATTAGTACAGCACTTAAATATTCTCTTCTAACTATTCTCTTCGCTATCACGCCAGCGTGATTGCGAAGAGAGCAGCAATGGGCCTGTTGCAAGGTGCGGGGATTTGCAAATTGATGCCTGATTCTTATGGCAAATTTCACGAAAAGAACGATGGCGCTACTAAAAAACCTTGAAATGACCTCTCAAACTCAAAAAAAAGCTGTTTTTGGAACCGACCCATTCAAAACGGTCGCTTTTCAACCGCCATACTTGTGATTGGTGGATTCTATGCTTGTGACTACTTGTGACGTGAAATGATATGACAGACCTGGTTTCTTCATCACTTACAATGTATTTTCCCGTAAGGAAATGACAGCCGCTTTTCAAATGCAAATATTGAGTCAATCTCTAATTTTTTGATCAAAATTGAAAGCAGAAATGGATTCCTCGTACGTTTAAATGGTTAGAACCTTCATTAGATAAATAAGAACCGACGGGATAAACCCTATTTTTAAGGAAGACTGTAGTCAATGGGCGATTGTTTACATCTGCTTAGTGATAACAGACATGGACATTAGCTCAATATTTGGTCATTTTCATGAGTTTTTACTTGTTTGTCACTATTTGAAGGTAAGTTTATTTTGTAAATCAATTGTCTAGTGTCTTAGGATCATGTTAAAAGCTGTAAAGGTATACTTTGTTACTTATTTATTCAGAGCACACTCCGGCAGTCCAACGCTCAAACCCTGGATGTTCTCTCAATGCGTGTAAATCATTCTTAACTCTTCAACAAACATCTCAATATCATTCAGAACGTTCCCACGTTTTATAAACTTATGTTATTTTAAAATCCTGTGTGTTTTAAATGTAACACTATACAGAAAAATTTATCGATAAAGTCTGGTAATCGAAGAAGGATCCTACGTCTACTTTCCTTGCCTCCAGCTAAAACATACCGGTCTCCTCATCTCATCAGTATTGTCAAAGGTAAGTTTTTTTTATCATCAATGATTGATACTATCATTTTGGTGTCTTCAGTGAAGCATTAAAGGGTGAAATAGTAAGATATAACAACTGACTCGCTACATCCAGGTTTGAGCGTTGGACTGCCGGAGTGTGTTCTGAATAAATAAGTAACAAAGTATACCTTTACAGCTTTTAACATGATCCTTAGACACTAGACAATTGATTTACAAAATAAACTTACCTTCAAATAGTGACAAACAAGTAAAAACTCATGAAAATGGCCAAATATTGAGCTAATGTCCATGTCTGTTATCACTAAGCAGATGTAAACAATCGCCCATTGACTACAGTCTTCCTTAAAAATAGGGTTTATCCCGTCGGTTCTTATTTATCAAATGAAGGTTTTAACCATTTAAACGTACGAGGAATCCATTTCTGCTTACAATTTTGAACAAAAAATTAGCGATTGACTCGATATTTGCATTTGAAAAGCGGCTGCCATTTCCTTACGGGAAAATACATTGTAAGTGATGAAGAAACCAGGTCTGTCATATCATTTCACGTCACAAGTATGGCGGACCCGAAACGACCGTTTTGAAAATCCAAATTCTGAGGCGTTTTTAAGTTGATTTTTTGGGGGTTTCCGGTGATCAAAAAACTCCGGGAAAATTCCTGTGACATCAGGAGCCTTAGGTCTTTCGATTAAAGCAATAAAAAAAATTGGTGCAACAGGCCCATTGAAAAATTCTCGAAATCAAGTTTCCTTCAAAAGTTGTCTTATCTCTTTCAGATGATATCATTGAAACTGCTAAAACAGCAATATTCGTCTTAATTGTATAAAAATAAGATATACGACAAAGCCGTTAGTGCGCGAAAAATGACGTAGTTTCAGGCAAGACAGCGGTAAAAGACATTATTCCTCCAGAGAGCCAATGAAAACAGTGCATCCGAGTAAAATGACGCTCTCTCCTGTCAATTTCTAACCTGAAGATGTGTTTGTCATGTGTCCGAAACGCAGCCACGAAAGCGCGCATGCGTTCACTCCAAACACGGAAAAAAATGAAATTGCTGTTTTAACAATTTTGTAGTTAAAAAAAGTGTCAGACATGTGTCAATGTAGATTTTACAATAAAAAAATGATAATTTAAGCACCCTTACTATTGTAAAATGTACATTTGAAACAAGTCGGACATATTTTTTTAACAATTGAATTGTTGCATCAGCAATCCAATTTTTTCCTTGAACGCACGCTCTCTTTGTGTGGATCCTCGCCAAAATTCAATTTCAGTTTACCGCCAAGATTTACGAAGGCTCCTGTTGGAGTTTCCCATTTGGTTATAATAATATTTACGATGGCGCTGTAAATCCTCCTTTTATTTTTCATCTTTTCTCGAAGATACCTTTTTCATTTCCGCCTCCGTTGCTGCGCGCCCTACTTACGCCTCGCTAACAGAAATAATATATTTAAGAGACCCCGCAATACTATCTGTACAATCGTACGGATTTCCAACAAAAAGACTCATTTCTAAGCAAGCCATGGAAGATAGAATAACTAATTCTAACCAATCAATGAAGAAGTTCATATTTACCAGACCACCAAAATGAATACAGGGTGATCCAAAAGTCCCTTCCACCCCCTCTAACTTTTTACCTAATTGAGGTGAAGATTTGAAACTTGGGGGATATTCCTAGGTCAAAGGGAGCTACTTTTTGGCCCCCCTAAAATTTTCAGGGGGCCCCCCTTGGGGGAGCAACGGCCCCCAACTTTTAATTTTCAAATGGGAAGACCCCCTTTGTGATAGCTCGTTCAAAAGAGCATAAAAAAAGAAAACTTTTCGCGCAAACCCGAAGTCAATATCTCAAACCGTTTCAAAATGGCGGCCGGTTAAAGTTCAAAATGGCCGAAAATTCACATCGGTTATTTGTCGATGGATTTGCGCGAAAATCGGTATATAGGGGTATTTTGACACGAGAAAAACGAATTTGACGTTAGATTTTCAAAAAAACCGAAATTTCCAAAATGGCCGCCGGTTAAAGTTTAAAATGGCCGAAAATTGTCACCTCGGTTTTTTGCTGATGGATTTGCCTTAAACTTGGAATTTGAGAGTATTTTGGCATAAGATAAACAAATTTGAACTTAGATTTCTAAAAAATCAATTTTTCGTAATTTTGAACTTTAATCGGCGGCCATTTTGGAAATTTCGGTTTTTTTGAAAATCTAACGTCAAATTCGTTTTTCTCGTGTCAAAATACCTCTACATACCGATATTCGCGCAAATCCATCAACAAATAACCGGTGTGAATTTTCGGCCATTTTGAACTTAAACCGGCCGCCATTTTGAAACGGTTTGAGATATTGATTTCGGGTTTGCGCGAAAAGTTTTCTTTTTTTATGCTCTTTCAAACGAGCTATCACAAAGGGGGTGTTCCCATTTGAAAATTAAAAGTTGGGGGCCGTTGCCCCCCCAAGGGGGGCCCCCCTGAAAATTTTAGGGGGGCCAAAAAGTAGCTCCCTTTGACCTAGGAACATCCCCCAAGTTTCAAATCTTTACCTCAATTAGGTAAAAAGTTAGAGGGGGTGGAAGGGACTTTTGGATCACCCTGTATATGTATAAACACGCAAATTTTTTAGGCAGGTTGTGCAATTAGGAGTGCATTTCAGACTTTGCCAATGCGCTCATCGTGACTTTTGAGACATTCTTTATAAGAAACAACTCTTTAGCTTGATTTAGCGAAAGTTTGCAACAGGCTCATTGCATTTATTGTGATTTTTATGCAGAAAGTACAAAGATAAAAAAAAAAAAAATACTAACATTCACGAGTGGGTCCGGTGAACGCTCTCCAACGTCCAAACGTTGGAATCAACCGCTTGTTTCTTCTTCACATGGATGATTATAGCTTTGATAGCAATTTGTCCATTCTCAACTTGCGCGAACAGAAACTTTGCAAAGCTTTCAAAATTTTGATGACGCCTGAGTTTGGATACAAATCAGCCAACAGTTCTCCTACAAAAGTGAGGAAACTCGCAAATAAACCTATGATAAGCCCTATGAAAGCTGACTGCAAATCGTTTAGATCGTATGGCTTCGGCTCAGCATCTTCTACATCTGTTCCCTCCGATGAAAATTCAATTACGTAGGCCTCATATTCCTCTACCGATCTTCTCATGTGCCCAGTTTCTAGATTTTGATAAATTATTCGATTCAATTTATCATAGAGAAAAGAATTTTTCAAGAAAGGAATCATTACAGGATACGTAATCAGGCACTCTTCCATTAGATGATACTCAGTTTCAACTTTAAATCCATGATTCATAAGGACATTTTCTTTACGGATGGAAGAGAATGGTACACTGATCATTGCAGCATCCATCGCAGCCATCGAAAGGATATTCTTTATAATATCCACAGTGCGATTTTTAATAAAATTAGAATCTGCGGATGATTCATTATTCTCAGAGAGACTAAGATAATTAACGAATTCTCCGAAGAATTTGGCCACAGAGTATTCGTGCAGATTACCCACCAATTTAGCACTTAGCACCTCAGATTGGTTTTGCTGATACAACATTTCCTGTTCTAATTCAACATCATTATAAGGTACTTGAATGAGCAGCTCTGATTCTTCCAAGGCTTTCAATGAATCAATTTCCGGATACTGAACTCTCCTGCTAAGAAGCGTTGTCATACAACCCAAAAAAGCATTCGTTATTATGATTGCAGAAAAACTGAAAATTACGAAGAGGGCTTTTCCAGTCGAAAGATGGCCCAGACGTAGATTTGCTGGGCTACCACACATGAAATACGCGTAAACAGTTAACAGAGGGGATGAGTTCCTGTAAAATTCAACTTCTGCGTCTGGGTAGAAGAAGTAGAATACTCTGCATTGTAGATAATGGAGAGTGCCCAGAATGATCCAGAAACAAACTATCGTGATGACAATGAGTGTCCATACGAGTGGAGAAAAGCTTTTGAAAATCACCAGACCTTGTGACATAAAACCACTATGTGGAGTTGCAAAGCACAGAGATCTCGTATCAACGCTGACTGAAAAATCATACCTAGAGTAATTTGCTCCTTCTACATTTAGTCCATACTCAAACGGCTGCAAGTCTATGTCGAATTGCAAGCCTGCTTCAGTACCGTAACTTTTGAATTGGTCTTCCATGTAATTCGTATAGAATGGGTACGTTAATGTGCAATTTACAGCACGTTTGAAGTCATTCATTACTGCCTCGTACGCTGCAACCCAAATGGTTGAGGATGAAGACAAAAACTTAGCTTTATGAGTTTTTCCTGAGGTGTAGAATGTGATGATTGATTTCCTGTGCATATTGCTCCAGGAGAAGACGAAGAAATTTTGATTGGCCTCACCCTCAGTTGAGATGAGTTTTTCCATGAAGGGATTATATTTTTCACAACCATGCGAGTGGCAAATGACTGATCTTATTCCTCTGAAGAAGCGCCAAAAGAATTTGAAACAAAACACCAGGCTGGCGACCGGGTCTGTATCCACAGTGTACTTTTCAAGTCCATTACTTGTTCCAGAATTCCCTGTGTTTAATCGTTTTGTATAAGTCGGGTGGCTGTAAAACTCATCGAAATTTTTTAAGATGAAAATCAGATAATTCTTAGAATTCCAAATGTTGTTGATGTACAAACCTCGAGTTGCATTAAATACTCGATCGCTCAGAATCGAGTTAGGCTCCAATTCGGCTGATGATAGTGTCAACTCTTTACTGCATGTTTCTTCCGGCCCTTGCGTCCAAAGAGAACGTCCATCTACTGTCACGCAATACGGAGGTAAAATACCCTTCGACTGATGTTCTTTTCTGATTTTATCGTATTCGAGATTGATCGAATCTCCGCCGTTTACGTCTGAGAGTCTTGGGTGTGAGATTGTATAAAAAATTAAGCTCATCAGCTCTCTAATATCTTTGAGGAGGAATATGATATTCTTGCCATGATCGGTATTGACAGCGTTTGTCAAGTGACTGTGGTGGGATATCAAAACGGTTTTAATGGAAGCTTTATGCAAGCGTTGATTAAAGTGCTCGAAAGAGGGTTCGGAATGTAAACCGTCCTCGTAAATGTAAAATAATTCTTGTTTCGATTCGTCGACTATGCCTCGACATGCGTTGAAAGCTATTGAAGTTGAAAACTCCCATTCGCTCTCCGGAGATAGCACCAAAATCTGATTAGTTTGCGGACCAACGAAAATCAGACCAACGTGGAGGAGAAATAAAAGAGAACACAAATGCATAATTCGGGAGCGAATATCACGCCTTGCCGTACTGCAAAGCAAAATATAGGACAAATCAGTTTGTAATAGATGTTCTATCCGTGTTCTTTTACGCGGAATTTTCCATCCTGATACATTGGTTTTAGAGTCGATTTCCTGGAATAAGAATATAGTTTAATCGCTTACCATTTTAATTTCCGTCGCTGAAAACAATTAATTTTAACCAGTTAAAACACGAGCTTTGCAAGATTTTCACGATCGTAACTTATATTTGAATGAGACTCATCAATAAGAGGAGAGAGAATTCGATGAGATTCTCATTTAAGTCAACCGAGTTACCTTGAATACCGTATCAGCCGCCTCTAAAACCTGCAAAACAAACTTCTGTCGAGGTTTTGTTAAGTACTTGAAAAGTTACAGCAAGGTCAAATGTTTTCCCTGTATTTTCATGCTTAATAATTGAGCTGTTATCGGGATTGCACCCTATTTGAAATTCTATTCAAGGTCCCATTTCTGTAAAATCAATCTATGGGTGGGCTACGAAGATACACGCGTTAGGTATATGGGCGTATCCGATAGCACTTCGATGTATCGTTTGGTTCAAAGCAATAGAACATAACTTCAAACCAAAATTTTAGGATATAAGACAGAGAAGCTGAAAATAACCGTAGCAATTTCACTACTCTTGGCCAATTAGTACTCCCAATATGGATTGCATACGAATCAAACAAAAATCTATCAGATAAAACCCGTTCCGTTAGATCACTCAATTGACTTCTGAGGCTATGTTTCTATTTTGAACCAATCGATATCGATAAGTCACAGGCAATTAGCAATCGCCGGCAATTTGCAAGCGGTTCATAATTTGTTTCAATAAATCGCAATAATGCGCATCGGCATAATGCAATTTTTAAGGGTTATGGTCTTCAAAAGTATGAGCTCGGCTTGAAGCGCCTTCATTTTCTGGGATACTCTACGCTTTGTCACAATGTTAGTTCAGTTGCATGTTCAATCTCAACCTAACTAATGTCACGGAGTTCACCACACGATCTTCTGAGAGTGCATATGTTTTTGAGGATTGGAACATGTCTATTCTCGTTATGGGTAACATAATCAGCACTCTAATCTCATTCTTTTATTTTTGAACTGCATGATTTTAAATATTTATTCACCACTGGCTTGCAAATTGCCAGCAATTGCTAATTGCCTGCGACATATATTATGTCCCAGGATTTCAGGGAGGGCCCTTTCCGAGGAATCAGACCTTTGCAAAAGGAAACCGAGTATCAAGGAAGGCTAGCAGCTCTTGAGGCGAGTTGCACAACCGCCTACGACCTGTTCAAGTAGTACGCGTACGGCTCTCGCGATTCAGGTGTCATAGTTCACGGTGATTTTCGGCTGGACAACATGATGTTCAAGTACGAGGCCGACGGGACACCCATTGAAGTTGTGTTCTTCGACTTCCAGACGATCTGCATCGGCTCGCCGGCGCTCGACCTATGCCGTTTTATGGTCTTCGAAGCCCCCAGGTACTTAAGACACGCTCGATGGGAGACATCTCTGCGTGTTTATCACGGTAAGTTTGGAGCTCTGCCGCGCTAGCGAAAAGAGCGGTGAGTGTCGAATTTTCGAAATCGAGTTTCCTTCACAATTCGTCTAATCTCTTTCAGATGAAATAACTAAAACAGCAATGTTCATCTTAATTGTAAAAAAATGAGACATCTGAGAAAGCCTCACGTGCGCAAAAAATGATGTAGTTTCAGGCAAGACAGCAGTAAGTAACATTATTCCTCCAGAGAGCCGATGAAAATAGTGCTTTCAAATAAAGTGCCGCCCTCTTCTGCCAATTGCTGAACTAGGAATGTGTTTGTCGTGTGTCCGAAACGCAATCAAGAAAGCGTGCTGACGATAGTACTTACTGCTTTCTTGCCCAACACTAGCCTTATATATGAAAACGAGTGATACCCCTTTTATATAATTGAAATAAAATCAGTCATTTTTAAGCATCCAAAGGATTTTCAGAGGTCTTTCGGATGATAGGTAGCAATTTGACAAAGAACGGAGAAGGCTTCTCCCAATAAAATTTTCCGGTCAGACGCCTCTGAACTCACCCATTCGGACAGGATTTTTTCCGGTGAGCAGTGCTGCCCTTGATGGTGTGCAGGTTGGCAATGTGTAATGTCGATCGAGAACAATGCCATTGTAAGCCAAGGCATCTATGTTAGGTGTTGGGATTTGGTTGGAGCCGCGAAAACCAACATCGTTCCATCCCTATGAACAGTGAGAACTAAAATAATTTCGAAATATTATATTTCACATGTATAATAAAATTATAAATACAAGGCATTTTACAGAACAATCGGATTGCAGAAATCCGAGCATGAAATGGAGATGTTGCATGTGTAAGGGATTTGCGATTTGACCATTGATTCTTATGTAAAAATTTGCGAGAAACATGATGGTGCCACTGGTTTTCCCTGAAATCATCTTCCAAGCTCAAAAAAAGCTCTCAAAGTGAGGCCAAAATGGAGGGGATATCCCACCCTACCCTGAGAGTCCACCTCTACATCAAAACAAACTCTCATATGCAATTCCGACATCCTTTCAGACTCTCAATCAGAGATGCCTTCCACGCTCGTCGACAGGGCACAGGAGAGAATTACATGAGCCGCCCTGCGCCGTCCGCAGAGCGCATGGCGCAAGACCCGCCTTTCATTATCACACCTCATCTAGCGTTGAGAGTTCACTAATCACTTCACATGACCAGTGTGTAATTTTAAAAGTCAAAAATTAAAAACATAAAAATTCACAGGATACACGAGTTTCTCCGCTAGGGAGCTCTTCCCGTCCCGTAAAAATCGGTCAACACCCACCTGCCGGGAGAGCCGCGGCGTGCTCCCAGCTCGATACGCTCACTGACGCCTACAAACCTAAGGGGATACTTCACGCATTGCGCAATGCTTGAAGTATCCCCTTAGGTTTGTAGGCGTCAGTGCGCGTATCGAACTGGCAGCACGCCGCGCCGCCGCGCCGCAGCGTGCCATAAACTTGCTCACAATTTCTAGGTCAGGGCGTTAAAATGTAGGCAATTTGACATCAAATCCGAAATTATTGACTCCAAACAACATCAGTCACAAAACTTTCGTGATCTTTCAGTCATTATCGGACTTAAATCTTCCTATTTTTGATTTTTGGACCATGGTGCACCGTGGGCGACGGCGCTCATGAAATTCTCTCCTGTGCTTAATCGCTCCGCCGTTTTTCAAAAGGTGACGGTTGATCATATTCCAGTATGTTACGTACCCGGGTGTTCCTTACATTTTATTTGAAGCTCATGACCTATCGCCTTTGGGCCAGGTCGAATTCTGAGGTAGAACCGCGAAAAACATGGATTTTCAGCAAATTCGGGCTAAAAAGTTAGAGGAGTTCGATTTTGAACTTGGGCTCAAAGGCGACGGTCGGTAATATTCAAGTATGTTACGTGTGTAGGTACTCCGGACATCATCTCCGAAGCTCATGACCCGTCGCCCAGAGTTTCACTAAAGGCGCACTGTCATACGCTTTCTGGAGATCCACACAAATGGGTCACTAAACCTTGTTTATTTTATTGAATATTCTGAAAGTACTATGTGAGTAGATAACGTGGTGATTTTTCCGCATTTTTATGGAGCCGAAATCGCGGAGAAAACCGCTTTTGAAAAATCTAAAAACTGCAAGACATTTCAAATGCACCCGAATGGCGGGAAACTGACGCGGGTGATGTACTGCGGTAGTCATATCGCAATCTTCTCTCATTTTCCTCTGATGTTTGTTAAAATAAAACGTATTTCAATGTGGAGTTGTTGCTTGTTTATTACAGCTAACATGTGAATGAGATAGTCTTGAATTCAAAAGATATAATTTCGACTTTAGTATTGTTCTCATATACGAAGAGTAGATAGACATTTGACTGACGTCGTGGAAACCCCTGATTGGTGCCGGATGACATCATTCGGTGCGGCGCAAAACCAGAGCGTTTTAAATTTGCGTATAAGTTGAGCGATTTGAACTGAGCATTTCTCAGTTATTGAGTAACTTGTTCGCGTTTTTAATCGCATCGTGTTCTATGCGTCATTTTCCTTCAGAAAACTATATTCGCAAGTCAAAATTCGTTCATGGTTTAGTGACCCATTAAATGCAGCTCCTGAGCTACGGCCATTTTCTTCACTCAATCGTAGACCTGCCAGCTCTAAAACCAGCCTGCTTCTCTGCTTCGTGATCTTGCCATTCTTCCTCTATCTTCGCTTTTGGTACCTTCCATTACCATACACTTTGCTTATTGCCCCGGCCACTGAGAGCCCCCGGTAGTTGTTCCAATCGTCCTTCCTGCTCCCTCCTCTCTTCTTATCTCTACCTAGTTCGGTTAATATTTAGTCGTTTCCCTTACGAAGGAACGTAACTCCATTCCAAAGTTGCCAAATTGACCCCAACAATTCAATTTTTTTACAAGAATGTACCTGTGCAATTTTTGTCCAAATTTTTTCTGATTTTTGCTCGAGATCGGAAGATAAATCAGTGAAATTTGCAGCCAGAAAAACCCACGATTCTCTTCGAAAAATTTCACTTTCTAAGGTGAAATTTGGCAACATTGAAATGGAGTTACGTTCCTTCGTAAGAGATACGACGATTTGAGGGTATCCTAACAAGATGTGTGGAGTCTACGCCAAATAAATTCAAGCACTTCTAGACTGCGATTTTCCTGATTTTTTACTTACTTCCAGACAAATTCCTCTTTAAAAGTTTTCTCATGTTGTTAGGATTCTTGCGTTTTCATTGCCAATTTGTTATTTTTTCCTTTCAGATCGTATAAAGTCCATGGTTCAGGTGATATGTAGCATAAAATATAATGGACCATTAGACAAGGTACGATTTAAATGATTCTGATACATGTTACTTAACCAAAATTTCACGCATAACACGATTCACGCAACGAAAATGACTGAAACCAACTTCTAAAGAAGATATTAAAGTTTCTATTTCACATTGGTTTCAAGGAATTTGAACTGCCCGCTCACGAGGAACTCAAAGCTCTACGTGAGTCAAATCGCGCACTACAACGGTTTCAGCAATCTTCTCAATCGAGCAATGTTCATTTCCCACCATGTTTTGTTCAAACTATAAGCAATTTGCTATAGCTGAGCCAAAGCACCAAGATTGAGGTTGCCAGATTTTTATATAGCAGAGACTGTCATGATAACGTTTAGCGCGCGATGTGAGCCACGGAGAGCATTGAGTCTTCATGAGCGGGTGGTTTGAATTCACGCATCAAGAATTATTAAGTATCTTCGTAAAGAGTTAATTTTGGTAATTTTTGTTGTGCGCGTCGTATTTTACGTGAAGTTTTAGTTAAGAGGCATGCAGTAGAATGCTAAAATTCGTACCTTGTCTAATGGTCCATTGAAGTTAATTCACTGCAACCACTCATTTGACATTTTATGTAATGACCCATTTATAGAGATATTTTCCTTTAAACTATGTTTTTGGTAAACAGTTGGAAACTAACATGTGCACGGGATTTTTTCCCCTACGGACCTCGATTCACAAATCTTCGCCCTTCAGACATAAATGTGTTACTACACCTTTTAATGCTGCCATGCTAAGAAAGAACGACGTATGAGCCTTCAGAGGTTGCCAAGTTTCATTGATAAAATACAATTTTTCCTCCTTTTCAGAGAATTTTATTAGCAATCAGATCTAAATTATGTGAAAGTGTAAAGAGCAAATATTAACAACTCTTCTCAGAAATAAACATGTGCTCGGAGGCAATTGGGAAACTCTCAAATGTCCATACGGCGTTTTTCCTTGGCGCGGCGAAAGAAACCATGTTTCCCATACATATTTTGCTTTCCTGGGTTCATCTCAATGTGTGCTTAGGATCTTTTGTCGTGCTTAATTATCGCCTTGTTGTCATAAATTTAGCATTCTGGATCCATCAACATAATAGCTCAAATTCAATTCACGATGGAAATAATGAGATAAGGAGAATAGATATGCTTCACGAATACTTACAAGATCGTCTGCAATTATGAAAATTATGTGAGGTGGAGGGGAACTCCCTTGAACCTCGGTGAGAAACCATGACAAAACTTGGAGAATAAACAACACTCTTGGAGGGAAACCACTATTAAGAAAAGCACATACACGTTTTCTATAAGACGGTAATTTTTGCAGTTGCTGGGGAAGAATCACAATTAAAAGTTCCGAACTTGAGTTAAAAATCATTTCGATGCTTTTTCTGCACTGTTAAAGTATGCTTCGACTGTATCTACCGTGCCAGACCAAGGTTACGAGATTCGGTAATCTGCAATCTTTTGATAGTTTTTGAAGAACACGCAATCTAATCAAAGTTGAATGCACTTGGTCGAGTACTTCGTTCAATACTCATCTTGGAGGAGTTTTTAATTTTTAACATTACACGTGACTTAAACATGAAGCATTCCTAACTTCCTCTCGAACGATTTGACTGCCCTCTTCTAATTACATTTCAAGGAATGTTTCGGGAGGCGAACTGTAGTAGATAAAATTGTAACAAAAAGTAAGCATATCAAATTCTCAAACCGGACGTGAAAAATGGGACTCTAGCCCTCGGTAGAGTACCTATATGGCGAGAGTATGGACAGATTGCTTCATGAAGGGCTTAGGGCCCAAAAGTGCAGCCACCCTTCTAACCAACTTGTAACACACAAAATTTCACCGCCAGTCTGCAGATTCCAATTCTAACCAAGATGGCTAAAAATGTACATAAATGAGCGTTCTTCCGCAAAAATGAGTAAATGTATACAAAAACTAAGTCAAATACGTGCTTTATAAACGACGGTTCCTAACAATTGTATTAGTAAATCGCTCTGAATAATTGAAATTCATAGGTTGGCCGCATGTCTGGGCCCTAACTTTATTCGCAGAGGCATCGGCGAAGGCCTGATGGCTTTTCGGAGTTTTACATCTGTCTATACTCTCGCTATACAGGTACTCTAGTCCTCGGAGGCAAAATGGATGGATTAAGACGGAATCAGCATAACGGCATGCGTGTCAAGTTGCCTAATTTTCTCTCGTGTTTTATTTTTTAACCTAGAAATGAATACTTTCGGTGGAGTTTATTTTCGATTGGAGTTACTGTGCGCGTTCACTCTGTTGGCGAACACTGCACCTTAAACCATATTTTGTTTTTTTCAGTGTGCAAGGGATCACCAATATTTGCTTTTATAAAAAACTATTAATCGCTATCAGAACATGCAAATGGTTCTCCATTTATATTACAACTCTTTGTGCTCTATGTTATCAACGAACAAGCGGCTAGAAATACATCGTTCTTGGATTGATTTCCCCGGCGGTCCAGTAAATTGCGACTCTATATTGTACTCTATGGCTAGGTCCTAGACATAGACGACGTCCCAGACTTAGAGTTCCGAGACATAGAGTCCGAGACTTACGGTTCTGAGGCATAGAGATCAGAGGCATAGGGATCAGAGGCATAGGGATCAGAGGCATAGGATTCTGAGGTATAGGGCTCCGAGACAAAGAGTTCCGAGGCATAGGGCCCCGAGGCAAAGGGCTCCGAGACATGAGGCTTCGAGACATAGAGCCTCTGAGACTCTCGGATGAACTGCCGTCCTCAACCCCTGGATCAGGTTCATCTTCTAACTCTCCTTGTGCGGTATCCACCCGCGTATGAAGAAACCCGGACATACTGCCGTCCTCAACCCCTGGATCAGGCTTTTTTTTTAACTCCCTTTGTGAGATAGCCTCCATCTGCTCGGAATGCTTCCACTTTTCAAGATACTCATCTGTGGCTTCCTTCGCACACTCGGAGAAGGGAACCGGGCTGTAAAATTGTCCGACCCTCTTGAACATCACGCATTCGTGTTTCTTGCCTCGTCTATAAGAAAACAAAATATCTGCCGTGTTACCGAAGAGAGCAGTATGCATAAAAATGAAGTTTCGAGAAAATTTACTCGGTAGCGTCTGAAGGCGCGTTCACACCGCAAGCCGAGCTGCTTTTCAGACTGTGTGGTGTGCAGCGTGAAAAACAGTTGCGGAAAAAAGAACAGAATTGTTTCAGGGGAAAAGAAACCCAGTTCTCCTTCATTTTGTGGGTAGGCAGTTTTACCTACGGTATACCTCGGATTATCCGAACTCTGGTTTATCCGAACCGATTTTCGGGAGGACAATTTTTTTACGCGTTTTTTGCACTTTCTCTTAGCCGTCAGAACAAGACCATTTTCATAACCCCTTTCAACTCTCCATTTTTTCCCCCGAACACAGACGTACTCGAATTTCCCTCGTATACCTGCTTATTGCTCTATCTCTCAGCGGACTCCCTTCGCCCTAAAATTAATGATTATTAATGGCCTCCAGATTATCCGAAATTTTCGTTATCCAAACCGGCCGACCGCCACATTACTTCCCGGATCCAGTCCTCTGCGTCAAGGTGATTCGACAGTTGCCATTTTTGTGTCAGAGCGACGTGCGATGTATCGCATCAATTCCTTCCATAATTTTAGCTATTTGTCATTTTTTACTAATTTCGAGATCGCACTTCTGTTGTCATGAGACTAAAGCATTCATGTGCCAAATTTGACAAAGAAAGTCAACGTACTAAAGGCAGGGTTTTTTCAGAGGTAAAGTATCGCATTCGAGTGCAGTTTCCATTTCAGTATCGAATGCGATATTTTTCCTCTAAAAGAACCCTGCCTTTATTACATTAAATTTATGTGTCATGAATTCTTTAGTCTCGTATCGCATTCGAGGGCGGTTTCCATTTCAGTATCGAATGCGATGTTTTTCCTCTAAAAGAACCCTGCCTTTATTACATTAAATTCCTTTGTCATGAGTTCTTTAGTCTCATGACAACAGGAGTGCGATCTCAAAATTCGAAAAAAATGACGAGTAGCTGAAATGGAACAAATTGATGCGATATATCGCACGTCGCTCTTACATAAAAAATGGCAGCGTCGAATCACCCGTCTCTGCATCACCGGTAAAAATACAATTTTCTCCCTCACGTGTGTAGTAATGCAATTTTACCAACTTGGAAGTCGAAATAGTTATTTAATGCTATGCGCCTCATCTAACTTTCCTACTCCGAGTTAAAGTCTCTAAGCCAGCGGAATAAAGACCAAGCCCACCTTCATATTTCGTCGCCCCTCTGCCGTAAGTGCGTATCTCAATTTCTACGTGAGCCCCAGAAAGCATATCGACGGTGAAACTACCAAACCACGTATCTCGGTTTGCGACGTCGCAGACTTCCTGTCATACTTTATTTTTTAAATGAAAAACTACTTAACGACCAGTCTTGAAAATTTCTGTGATTTTTCCTCTTCGTGCGGAGAAAATTCTGTGAAAATTTCAAGGAATGATATTGATCTGGTCTACTTCAAAAAAATAAAATGCGAGCGTAGATTTTTAAACACCGGAAACGAGATACGTGGTTTGGTAGTTTCACCGTCGATATAGATTTATACGGAGAATAAGGCTCGCAAGGAAATCGAAATAAGCCCTTGCGTCAGAGGGGCGACGATCTGTGGATATTTAATTTTAATGTAACCAGCAGGTAACTATCAACATTGACTTGCAGTGCCAAAGCTCATTTTGGCAATACATCGTTGCAAAATTTACATTTTTTGTATCAATTTTGGAAGCACAGTATCATCAGGTGAAATCACTGTTATACTGTTGTCCAGTGGTAAAAATGTAGTTGCAACGCTGCAGTGCAAAAGCGAGCTTTAAATTCAAGCTGAAACTTTAATTGGAGAATTTTTTGAGTGTAACATCCAAGAGACTCTTTGATTCCCCAGCTCCAGATTGACAACTCTAAACAATCACCGTCATTATGTGGAATTGTTTCTATCAAGAACAAATAGAATAACAAGCCCCATTCAGCCGACAGCCCCTCTCTCATGCTTTTCGAATTAGTTTGATGAAAATATGTACTTAAGCTGTTGTTTTTCAAATTAAGAAATAGGCAAAAAATATTTTTTACATGTGTTATTATGTCAGTTTTGTCAAAAAACGCCTTCGAGATTTGTTGACTCCAGATGCATCAATCGACGGTGTTGCTAATTTTTTCCCCATTGTTTCCCTGAGTGTAGGTCTATTCAAATGAATGACTCACCGATCCAAAGCAAAACATTGTGCGTCGATAAAGCGGTGACAGCGTTCTGTCAGGTCATTGGGTAAAGTTCGGAGCTCCAGAACTGCTTCGTAGCACTTATCGTCAGGCGGCTGCATTTGCTTTTTCTCAGTTTCGGACTTACGCAGAGAGTACAGGTGCGAAAAACACACAGCCTTTTTATACTTTCTACCTTGAAGATATTCTGGATTCGTATCGTAGCCTCTGCAAGGATTTTCCTGCACCGCTACCCACACCTTGGACATTTGTTTTATCGCGAATATCCTCCGGTCCGGCTTCTTTTGTTTTAATGAATCCGTTCTGAATGACCCCTCTCGTGCCGATGATCCGAGTGATTTAGCTTTGGATTTGGATGACACTTGTGTCCTGGAATTTGATGGAGACAGGTTAGCAGGGGTCTGCGTTCCAGGTAGCCTCATTTTGGATAAACTGGACAGTTTCTCAGTTAGAAGCTTGGATAAAGCCGTTGCGAGTGGCTGCAAAGAGAGTTTCGTTGAAAAAGCCCGTTGAGATGGAGATTTTACGTCTGCCGCCGAATTCTGTGGCTTCCCATTGGACACACTTGACATCTTTTGGCAGAGACACAAATATCAGCATTAGATGAATGCAATAATTCACATTAAATTTATCTACAACGGAATCTTTGAAAACGAGAAGATATGTGATCAACACTGGAAAAAAAATACATTGTATCTAGAGTCCAGACTCTTGAAAACATTGGCAAGAAAAAATACTCTTGATTCAATCGGATTTTTGCTTGAATCGAAACGAAACCCGCTTAAATTAAGAGGCTTGGTTCTTGATTTAAGCTACATTCTGATTGAATCAAGTGTACTTTTTCTTGTCGACGTTTTTAAGAGTCTGGACTCCGGATCCAATGTGTTTTTTTTTTTTCCAGGGAAGGGATGGATTGAATTTTGAGTTTGCGTTGTTAAATTCTGAGTTGAGCCAGAGGAGGGTATATGGACTCGATCGACATGAATCGATTGAAAAATGGAAACGTGAGTCGCGACAACTTAATAAAAAATCTGTGTCGATTCTATCAACATGATTCGATCGACACCGATTCGATCGACAGTGAATGTAAAAAAACCGTTACTTTCTCCTTTTGATTTAAAACTGTCAAAAACTGTCATTGGTGAATAATTGGTTTTATTTTTATCTTTAAAATTTTCGAAGCGACAACATCGAAATTAATCTCAATGAGCCTTAGTTTTCTTGAAAGGAACTACATATATACAAAAATGAATCATAGAAAAAAAAAAATCAAGCAATCTTTGGTTTTAACCCGTTTGTATATGGATCTATTAGAGTCAAATACGTCCTATTTTGAGCGTTTGGTTGCGCGTACACCACGCTGCAGCTCAGTGAAAGCACAAAATATAAAATAATAATTTAATATGCATTGGAAATCATTGAATTTGACACGGAATCATCTGAATATTTACAAAACACACAGAATGTTTTCCTTTATTACATATTTTTCCCCCCATCGATTTAGATGAGGATAATTCATGCAGAGTGTAAAATCATGAGTTAAAAAACGCTGACTCCGCGAGCTTAAATAATAGATCCGAATTCCGAGCACGGGTCGGAGCGTTGTGCTGCCAGCGCGTGTCACTGGCACTGGCACTGGCACTGGCACTGGCACTGGCGCCTACAAACCTAACAGGGAAACTTCACGTATTGCGCACTGCGTGAAGTATCCCTGTTAGGTTTGTAGGCGCCACTGCGCGTGTCGCGCTGGTCGCACTCGCCCGCCGCTGCGGGGCGGAGTACCACAGCGCTTCAAGCAACTACCTCGCAACAGAGATGTTGTACAGCATCATACGAAATTGAAGGCGCTCCAACGTATCAAGAATGACAGGTATCCTTTGAGAGTACGGAGCTTTCCTCGCAAAATAAATAAAGATACTACGGCACAGAAAGAGAGCAGTAGTCACAAAACTCACTAAGTTCTCGCGTCCGTATTTAATAACGTTTAATAATCGGGTCGTTGAACATAGTCGCGCCAGCTGGCTGATTATTTAAATTGATAGACAAAGCTGTAGACATAGAAGTCATAGGGAGTACGTAGCGATCCTATATTGGTTCAGATGGGTGGTTCTTATGGACGAAGGGAGAAAGTGATGTACTAACTAAAGGGACTCTCATCGGTTGTCGTTAGGTAGTCTGTTACCTAGCTCCTTTGTCCATTGTAATCACCCGATTCTACCAATAGGATCCTTCCATGTCCCTTTTCTCTTCTTTGTCTATAGCTTTGTCTATCAATTTCAATAGTCGGCTTGCAGACGCTAACCTACCTGTTAAGGTTAAGACTGTTTAGAGGTACAAAATATTTTTTAACTTACCGGACGGACAAATGTTCCTTGCCAAATCAATGAAAGTATAAAGCTCTGTATTAGCCATTTTATCTTCATCCTCCTTTAAATACATAGAACTCTCCGTTTTGGGGATTTTTATAGCGAAGCTCCTTCCTCGCTTACATAACACTCTGCATAAAAAGAAAATTAGAATATACTTTTTTAAAAAAATGTTTAATTTTCCTGTGAATCAACGCGGGTGCCGTGGACAATGAGCTTCTTCGCAGATAATTTTCAAGGCTTAAAAACTAATGCTAATGCTGATGTCTCAGTGGGTGCTGATTGCACTTTTTCAAATTTTGTCATCCTGCCTGATTATCATCTTTGTCGAGAAGTATTTAAATCGATATTTGGTAATCATTTTCAAAAATGTGACCAGTAAATCGAGGGTAAAGACATAGTAATAATTGAATGAATAAAAAGTAAAGATTGAAATCAAATATTAATTCCCGATCATTACCCATTATCATGGATTTTGAACTATCTTGAGGACATCAGGATGCTCTGATCGCTGAGGCTTCATAGCCCTGAAAAGGTTTATGTAAGTTTTTTCAGAGGGTGCAATTGCAATTTTATATCGGCACACTAAAACCACAAGAGGTTTGAATGATCTGTCTATACTACAAAAAATTAGAAAAATCAAATTAAATATGTAAAAGTTGACCACTGTCCCTATTGCTCATGCGCAGTAATCATTTTCGGTGGCGTGGCGTGCTATACGATAAATCGATTGCTCTATAATTTAAATGCATGGGAATAAATCGATAAACGGGGTCTTCGCAACGATTCATTAATGCTAGATTCTTCACCATAGCTTCGTGTGAGGAAATATCGATGATCGTTCATTCACGCCTCGCGACTGATCATTAATTTTGTCTTCGAACTAGACCCAGCGCCTCTCAATCCCAAAAGGGTTAAGGCTTAAGTTCTAGTTTATCCCGGGAAAAAGAAACTACAACACCCCGGAGAGGTGGGACTGGCGCTACTCATGAGGTTTGCTGAATTTTTGAAAAAGTTTTGCTGGTAATTGCTTGCTTTGATATTTTTTCTTTATAGTATGTCTTTTATGTGGCATCTTCTCTCTTGAGGGTCACAATTTTCAACCTGTGGGGATGGATAGAATGTGAAACTCCTCCCTTTTTGCTCTGAAATTGATGGAATTCCGAGAAAGATTAATAGCTAATACGAACTGCATTTTGTTTATGCTGTGAAATCAATTCAACAAAAACAATGCCACTTTTGCAGAGAACGAAGTCTAGCTCAAATCCAAAGATAGTTGCGGATCATTTGCATGCAAATGTTTGATTGATATCTGAAGAGCCAATTTTATGTATCTTTTATAATTTTTTTCTGTTATGGGAAATAGTATGAAATAGATTTATAAGTGAGAAAATGCAACGCCAAGGGACGTCATCTGGCAGCATTTTCCATGTATTTTAGCAGATTCGATAATCTTCTTCTCCAATAATTGTTCAATCTATGAACCAAGGGCATCCTCGTGTTCAGTTCACTCAGTAGTTTCAACTTAAAACACGAAATTCATCTTTTTTTGAAAATCTGCGCGCCGACCTAGGCAAAAATAACTATCCTATTCGCTACGATTTAGAATCAGGGACCGTGGTTTTTTTAGGTAAAAAGAAAAAAAAGGAAAATAGGACAAAATATCATAATTCGACGAAATTTCCCTTGATTTCAATTCAAATCGTTCGTAAAATTATTGTAAATTTTCCAGAGAATCTGCGCGCCGACTTTTAAAAAATATTGATTCAAATTGAACCATTAACTGGGTTTGCACTGTTGCAATCGAGGGAAATAAGCTCCTTTTCGCGTTGAACCATCTATATTTGAGTTCGTTTACGGCAGGCGAGACGTACAACTATTTGACCACGGGTGTAAGCATGTTGCTGCTTCTCCGGATTGAAGGCGCGTCAAACTGCGAAGATGTCTTGACCGCCCTGCCAACTCTGGCGGGTGGGACGAACGCTTAAATCGCTGCGACACTTAGACGATGCGTCATAATTCATGACTCCCTTCTAATTTTCACCGTAAAAAAGAAGAATAACTTTCCTAACAGCTACGATTTAGAATCAGGGACCGTGGTTTTTTTTCGGTAGTAAAATAAACCACTTTCCTTATTTCGCTTGTTTTTCCCGTAAAAAGAAAAAGGAAAATAGGATTAAATATAATATCGCTACGAAATTTCCCGTGATTTCAATTAAAATCGTTCGTAAAATTAATGTAAACGGAGACCTGTAAATTCTGGAGGGATTCTACTGTGGTTTGTGCTATCAGGCTACAAAAAAAGTGATCAGCTGTTTGATTAGCCTGTTAGAAACAACCAATAGAAACAACCAATACTGGAAAAAAAGTCGCTTGAAAACAATAACAAGAAAAAATACTCTTGATTCAATTTGCTTTTTGCTTGAATGAAAAGGAAATCCGCTTAAACTGAGAGACGTGGTTCTCGATTAAAGCAAAAATCCAGTTGACTCTAGATTATTTTTTCCTGTCGATGTTTTTGAGAGTCTGGACTCTAGACCCAAGCGTCTTTCTTTTCCAGTCAGCTGAATACACGTTTTAAGCGTGAATTCGCTCTAGGATTACGTTGGGCACATTAAATAAGTCTGAAATCCGCTCCTTAGCACGCCATCTGCGTAGTTTTTAACACGCTTTTTCAAGTTTCCCGCTCTTGCGGGCATCTTTTCTCACGTCACCACCGACCAGGTCTGCACAGGCAGAGGAGAAAGAGAGAACTACCCAAAGTCAATAAACGATTGACTGAACTAATTTTTTCCATGTATGATTTCATTTGTTTTCAAGCGAGCTTTGTTTCCTTTTTCTTTCTTTATTTCTCAAAAATAAAAGCTTTGAATCAATTGAAATCATCCGCAAGGAGAGCTCATAACAGTTTGCAAAAGTGTTCGTCTATAGGTATGGGCTCTCTTCGGGCAAACCTGACAGCCATCCATGAAAAAAAAAAAAAAATGACCAAGAAAAACTGCCCGCATACGCGGTAAATTTGAGAAGGCGTATTACAAACTACGCAGGTTGTGCTCTAAGAAACGGATTTCAGACTTTTTTGATGTGCCCAACATTAAAGTATCCCTTAAAAAATGTTGGTTGTATCTCTTGCTTGCAATAGACCCATTGAATCGCTCACATTACAAGTGGATTACATTTTGCAATAAGGAATCACTATTTCCGGCTCATTTCAGAAACAACATATTTGCCGTTGATTCCCCTTTGCAGGTACGTGATTTTATGGAAGAGCAGAGATAGTGGTTCCTTATTGCATTATGTAATCCAAGTATCAATATTTGTAAACCAAAAATGAGAATACAAAAGGAAAGCTACTCTAGGACCGAAGCAAGTAATGTTGAATTGAGTATTGTAGTAAGCTTTCGAGATATTCATTAATCTAAACTGCAACAACTAATACAACTTAACTGAGAAATGTCAGTTCATTTTGAAATATGTCATATCCATGATCAGGAGCCATGACGTCTAATCATTTTTAATTTTAATATCACCGCAGGACTCACCGTTTTGGAAGGCCTGAACTCCAATCCGATCCAAGTGTCAGAAACTTCCACACTTCGCAAACAAGCACGAACAATTTCTATAATGTTTGAACCACAAGATATGCAATGCACAAATGAAATTTTTGAATGACGCGGTCCGGTGCGATCTCCTGCAAATCCACTGTTAATGTGAGAGCGGGGTTTTTGTTTCAGTTGTCTTTTGCCACTTTTGTTCTCTCGCCTACGCTGTTTTTTCGTGTGTTCCGGCGGATTTTCAAATAGCTTTTTTCACTGTCACAACAGCATTGAAGGGGGGGGGGGAGGATGGAAATTTTTTCACGCATTCTATAAAGACGCATGTGAGGCACAAGGTATCTCCATTGCGGTCTTTCAAAATCTCTCTTTACTTTTTCGAAGAGGAACAAGGCAACATCATAACTTAAAATGTATACAGAATATTTTCGTGACAGAAACGAGAAATCAAGAAGGTTTTTAAAAAAATCACGTTGACGTGTTTTCCAAGGAAAAAACAAAGTATGAAGTATTTATTTGATAACCTAAATTACAAAATTAAACAATAGAAAACTTTAAAAGTTAAGTATTAAAGTAAAATAGATCAAAATACCAAATGTATCTAAATGAGATTGATAATCTTTAATTTAAAAATATAGTAAATATAGTTATGGACGTCTAAAACGTCGCAAACGGAAGCACATGGTCTCAAACTTTAGCTATCGACAATCCGTATATTTTCTCCTGCCAAAAACTGGGAGTCTAAACACAGTAATAAGTTTGTGGAAAGGCTGTCAGGTTTCAACAGAGATGATTTTAGGTTTTTTACATACTTCTGTAAGTATATCTTTTGTTGTATTATTGTCAATATCGTAATGCACTTACCTTTGGTTATTTTCAAGAGAGAGGGAATCTTGCGAAAGGAACCCCATTCAGTAATTTCAGAGTTGCAAGGAGGTCTATCAAGATTGTTTCAATACAGCAACTTATGGCATGATTTATATAAATCGCTCATCAACGATGGAACTAGAGAAATGCGAACGTCAACTGCCGTGTTTGAAAACGTCCCCTTTACTTTATGTTTTCATGCAAAATATTATTGATTTATTACATGGATAAATTTTGTCCTCAGTTTCAGAGAATACTGTTGGGAGAGCTGAGGAAAATGACATCAAAATTTTTCCCACAACGATATACACGGGTCTCAGGAAATTCCATCAACCGCGCACCTGTTTTGCCCAGTAATTTATGTCCACGCGTAAAATAGGCAACAGTGACAATATATAAAGTGACATTATATCGACAATATTAAAATGAACAAAACAAGTCATGTGAAGTCCAAATTGCGCGTCCCAGGATAGGTCACACTTTTTTCACTCACAATCATATCATCTCCAAAGAAAATCAACCCATCTGTCACTTCTGTATTCATCACCTCTAACCATCAAACACATACTTATGGACTGCTCTGCCCTCCGATATCTCCAATTACAGATCTACTCCCCTACAATCAACAGAAATACAAACCCACTTACATGCGATGAACCCAATATTACTACCAAAATTCTGAAACTCTTCAACTCTCTTAACTTAAA